GTGGTTTGTTTTCCACATAGATACATCGCGTATTGACCACGTGCCATGCCCATAAGAATCTCTCATACGTTATGTCTGGACATGCTTGCTCGATCTGAACGACGGCTGCTCTCAGTTGTGACTCCATCATCCTAGTCTACTCACCTTATTCCATGACTCTCGCAGATCCTTCTGCTGCGTACACCAACAGTCTCGAACTGATGAAGGTAAATGGGCTGGATCAACCGTTTGACCCTTATACAAGGGAGTAGTGAAAGTCTGGAAGTTACAGTTTGCTGAAGACTTGTCATGCCATCGGCAACTCCAACGAGAATCTTTTCCTTCGGAAATTCAAGGGACATGAAGGTCTGCTAACGAGAGTCAAAGCTCCTCACCTTGGGCAACATCTTGAGGTACGGTGCGTACAAAGACGAGTCTTCATCTTCCATGCAGAAAAACAATGTGAGTAATTCAAACGGTGTGGGAAACAACCTTCAAGTAGACCAACTCAACACATCAAATCTATGTTACTCGGGAAAAAAATCAATATGCTACCAAAAATATTTATACTTACGCACTTTCACTCTTTGTCACTTTTTGGGTGAACCTCTGCTAATTTGTACTCTCTACACACAAAACTAGTTCTAGACTCCAGTAGCTAAGAGCCGGCTTCAGATGCAGGACACATCATCTTCAATGAATCCTTAAAGACAGTTGGCACGATAAATCCCCAAAGACGAGTAGGATTTATATGCCTGGCAGGGCGGATTTCCGCGACCCTGAGCAGGCCCTGCGTAGCGGTTTTTCCCACGGAGGTACCCTTATAAGGGTCCTATCAAGCTACAACTTTCCGACCCAAACGCCTACCACGCCCGCCCGCCCACAAATGGACGACCGTACCTGATGCTCGTATTGCTTCATTTGCTAAGTAAAATATGAAGCGAAGGGATTGGTATGAAGCGGCTGCGGTGCTGAATGGATATATGAGTACATACATGCAGCCGCACCTACCGGAGCGGTTATTTGCAATACGCCTACGGGAAACTCGTCCGAAATCGCTTTTCAAGAACGAAGGCTTTTCTTCGCAGTTTTGACCGTTTCACTTCGTTTTTTCGCCATTTTCCCCACTAAATAGCGCCCTGCTAGCATTTTAGGCTGAGTACCAAATCATCGTGCCAACTGCCTTTGATGAGAAGTGGGGTCGTGATCGGGTCGTACTCGAGGAGAGGAGTCGTTCTAGATCTGCTGGCTGTACTTAATGCGGAGGATGACCTGAGGAAAAAGATTTTTTTACCTCCCTCTTATTGGAGGACCCCAATGGAGGCAATCTAAGCAACTCAATCGCGAGCTGTGAATGCAGTCTAAGTGACACCTAACGAGGACAGCAGCGCCCTAGAGCGAGCGAAACACAGCAAGCAATTCACTGAGGATAGACCGCAAGCCGCAAATTCACCAAATTTCAGCGCTATCACAAAAACGGCTGCTAAGTTATGGAAGAAAGCCTTGACAGGCGAGGCTTCGAGCTCGCATCTGCGCTTGTCCGGCTCGGTGAACGTTCGCTACCTCCGATATTACGTACTACGGCGCCTCTTTACGTGATATGGTGTGTATTTCGTGTGTGGCGCAAACTATTGTGCTAAACAGCGGCTATCATAATAAAACAAATTCGCTACCCCTGAGCACTCTGCAAGGTATTACAACTGGTCTTACTTTGTATCCTTCAGAAGTTCCGCATACGGATCCATGTCAGCGACCTTTCCAGCCGTGATCATCAACTCTTCAGGTACCTCTATGACCTTCTCATCCGTTCGGAACGATCGAGCTGCGAACACTCCATTACCTGACTCCTAGAAGTGATGATACCGCTTACAAATAGTGAGCCATGTGGTCTTAATGACACTACCAAGTTTTTCAAAGCAATAATGAGACATGACAAAGGGAGTAATAGGTTATCATAAGGATTAGTATGACGTTAGTGTGCTCTAGAGTGTGGTAAGCAACAAAGATGGATGGCATCTAACGAACATGAAGGAAACACGGGTAATATGGGAAAAGGGATTTTGCATCATACTTACTGTCCTTCTATTTTGTTAGGTGATACTTCCTGTAGAAAAAAGTAAGGATATAAAGAGCATAAAGAGTATAAAGGGCATAAAGAAGGTTAAAGCGTCCAGTATCACTCCCTTCAGGATGCCCCACGCATTCCAGTTTTCTTCAATTCAACGGCATTCAGATCGGATTCGGGCCCATACAAGTTGCTGGGAGGAGCTATGTAAGGGTCAAAGGTCTTCTTCTCCCCGAAAGATGTGACACCAATCAAGCCAAGTCGAAGGCTTGTTGGACCTTGGCGATATTCGTTCAGTCTTTGACCCTCGAACCACACGTCGTGATGCCCTTGATTGCTCGTCGAGGAAGGACCCACTAGAAGGGTATGCGACAAGGCACTCGAGTTTTGCCGCCTTGGTGCGTGTGGTCAGCGATGCCGCCTGCGGCAATTGGATAGTTCGCAGCCACTTACACTCGAAATCCCTGAGGTAGGCGTGGCTGCGTACTTCAACTAAACTCTGGTGGTGGCTATGCTCTTGGAAAGATATTTTCATTTTGACCCAAATGTGGTCACGTCTCTTCCAACAAAGAACAGATGGCGGTTGTCTGAAATTTAAATATCCCACGAGTAACCAGTTCCGTGCCATGTTCAAATGCCACGCCTACCCGTCTCAGGGATAAAGAGTATATACGGTGTTCTAATGTCAACTACATCTCTCTAGTAGAGTATCTGAACAGCAGATATCACAACTCAGAGACGTTATATCCTTTGTCGTCGTGAGTCACCATATCAGAAGGGCTGCCCATTGACGCATGATGCGCCGCGATGGCGCGACAAATTACGATAGTCAATGGGGCGTTGTGACCATAGTTGCACGGGCACTGTTTCAGAAAGGGTGAAAAGAATTTCTTCTTCCACTAGCTGATGAATACTGACAACGATGCCTATAACACACTACTTACCTCACATGACCTTATTTCGAGACCATCCGAGACGATTCCTTTCGTGCGACACCAAGACAGGAAATGTTGCAGTGAGTCCTCCGCCATCCTTATCTCCTAATCGTGTGAACATTGCCGAGCAATCATAACTTAAACAAGACCACTCAGACGTATTACTGTGTTAAGTGCGACTAAAAGATGTTACGTGCATTTCAAAGGCGAACTTAGGCATTATCTTGAAGTCACACGAACTTTCAATTCTACCAGAGCCGGTTGGGAGACCCATGTTGCGGAGACGCGCACAAACTAGCTAGTTGTTCTCTAGCAAGATGAGTCGATATGCTACAGTATTTCTTTGAAGACTACGTCCGGTGCTAATGTCGCACACTCTACAAACTTCGCTGCGTTGCTCTAACGTGGAGCTTCCAACCGGCATGCTGAGCTAGTTACGATCCGTAACAGGTCTTCAGTATGTTGCACATAAAGTTATGAAATTGAAAAGCCGCGCCACGTATGCGCGCGTCCAAACTGGCAAATCTCCTGAATGATATAGGCCAATCATAAAAGATTAAATTCATCAATATTTATAGGCCAAAGGTCGCCGATATTGAACAAGAGCACAACGTACTTGTAACTTCATTAGCCAATGAACTAAATGTAAATGTACGGTGTCAGTGTGAAATTCATCAAATATAAATCTTATCAAATCCTCTCTATGTACAGAAATTACAAATGAAGAAAACGCAAATCTTCGGCGCAGTTCGGCGACGGGGGCGGGAAGGGGGCATTTGCACTTTCGCTTGCTTCACTAGTTCCGGTTTACAAGTCTCACTCTGGTGAAACCTGTGAACTCTTGTGAAGCTGGAGCAAACTCGTCGAACCACAACGGTAAAAACTATCAAGTCTTGTAAGTTCATGAAATAGACCTTCGAAACAACGATGAGAAGTAGCAAAAGTGCAAAATGCTTCCCCCCCCCCTCCCTCAAATCTTCCAATGAGACCAGTATGGGGTGTAATACATGTCAAAGAATTCGCATACTATAACAGTTACTTAAGCAATACCAGGATAGCAAGCTTCTCAGTCTACGAACTGTATACACTCAACACACTCGTCGGCGATATGTAAACATTTGAGATCTGTGGCGTAAACGAGGAATGGCAGCGCGAGAATGCCTTCAAAAACCCTTCACAGCCGCTTTAGCTCTTCAATCCACTTGTCATAGACATAACGAAGAAACCATCGACTCAAGCGCGTCTGATAATCTTCGCTACAGTACACCATTATGGGGTGAACTGAACGGCAAAAGCGCTTGGAGGCAGAACAGCAAAGAATACATTGCATAATACCGGCTTTTTACCAGAAATACGTAGGCTTGGGCTTTTGAGCAATGCAGAACCGACAGAAAAAGCCCTGATCAAACATGCATCAATTACTGTTATTCATAGTACCAGTAATTACTGTTATTCATAGTACCATCATGCATAAAACACCGCAAATAGATGAAATTTGCGTCGACTCGAATTTGCGTCGACTGTACAAAAACCTATCGAGCAGCATCAGCACCACGTGACACGCCGTTGTTGAGCAGCAGAGGGCGCTGCAAGTTTTGCAGCACGTTCACAACTTTTATCGATTGCTCCAGAACTGATCGGTCTCTGAAAATAAAATCAATACGACACTTGGATTTCTTTTTATGGTATTGGTATCGAGGTGGAAATTCGGATCTATAGGTAGTTTACCAGCTCAGTTATTAGGATCTAAATGACTCAACAATGATGAAAAAAGCGAAGGATACCAAGGAACCTTCATTAAACCTCTCGGGATTGTTCAAGCTTACCAACATGCGGATCGTTTCTGTAGAATTTCTGGTTTTATGCCAGTAAATCGATACGAGCGCTGCTCTAAGCAGTTTCTAGCTGATTTCTTGTGGAGTTTCC